TGTACACAATATAAAAATCTTGCACAGACTTGCAAGATTGTGTTACATGCACCTTTGAATCAGTTTTTGACTCCTGGCGACTGCCTGGACAAGTCCCTGCAGTTTTCTTGGCAAGGTTTTTTGGAAGTGGTTGCCATTGCCTGCTTCCTAGGGCTGAGACAGAGTGACTGGCCCAAGGTCACTCAGCTGGCTTTGTGCCTAAGGCAAGAGGAAAACTCATGGCCTCCCAGTTTCTAGCCTGATGCCTTAATTCTTATCATATTGATACTAAATTATTGTGTTTTAACAAGTAAATTAAAGATAAAAAGTGAGCTTTAAATAATTGCTTACTGGGCACATCAGCTGGATATAAGTAGCATTTAAAAAAAAAATGGGACAGACCATTTCTATACATGTTTTAAGATTACCCCAATGGTTTTAAATCAGATAAGCCAGTGAACTCAAGAAATTGGACTTGTGTAAACTCTCCAATTAAGTAAATGAAGGCTAAAATTGTCATTCTTATACCCTTCCTAGGAAACAACAGCTGCACTTGTTTCTTTAAACTAATTGAACAAATAAAAATCACAGCTGAGCATAGGTTGTTTGAGACATTAAGTATTGTGATCTCAATCTAGTCCAGTGTTAAACAACAAATGCTTTACACTAACAAGCCTCAGTTTCATCCATTACTGCAGTACATGCCAAAGTCTGGTATTTTTTCATACTGTTTGGGAAGCTTCTTAAAATTGGCTTCTCCAATTTTCATGTCAGTATCTTGGATATTTCTACTCAAACCATTTGGATACCATAAGAATTGCTATATACCAGTGGTCTGAGCATACATTCTGTTTCAATTCAATACATGGTTACAAAAATATTCATCCCATTTGTAAGTCCCTATGAAACACTCTCCAACTTCTTACCATGACGATCATAGCTTAGCATTACCAGCTTTTCTTGAAGCCGGAGTCGTTTTACATTAAAAGCACAGCCTGTTCCTGCTTCACTGACCATTCTCACAAGTATATACCTAAAAAATGAACATCAAGAATGCATTTTTACTTGCTAATTTTCCAGAATTCATTTTTGACTCCTTGGTGCATGCATGATTGTCTATTTACATATTTAACTTAATTTTTTCTTATTAATTTTAGATTAAGGGTTTTTAATCAGACAAATACTTGCAATGAGAAGCCCAAAAAATAAGGCAATTTTCAGTCATCTCTCTTTCTCTTGTAGCCCTCTATGTCCCATCAACTCTCCTCCCCACCAGTACCCATCAAGAGCTACTGTGGAGGAATAGGAGAAGAAATAGTATTCGAGCTGCAGAGAAGCAGGGAGGAATGAAAATTATTTCATTCTGATATTTCCCTGATTGAAGAGCCTTCTGTCAGCAGAAGGAATTAACAGGATACAACACTTACTTCTAAGTCTCAACATTCCTCAAGAAGAAATGTATTTTTATTGATTACTGTTATTTTCAAATTTGCTTCCTTAAAAACCATCTTTAATTTGCAAGTTCACAGTTCCATTGAAACATAACTGGAAGGACATTTGAAATACAGCAGGTGGTTGGCAACACTTCCAACTAAAGCTGGTTTTTAAATGTTCTACAACTGAACCACAAGATACTGTTTTGATTCTCATCATCACCACCTCCTCCTGCCAGTAATTTGAATAAAAGATCTGCATATACTGAAAGCAAAATTCATCTTAACTATATTACTTCCTCCGATTTTTTCTAGTTAGACAGAAATATAAGAAGAGAATATACTTTCTCTACATTGTATTTTATACGTAACACACATAGAGAATTCAACGATAGATGCCTACACAGGCCTGAATCTAAAATCTAAACAGAAGACTTATTTAAATTAAAAATACAAAAACCTTAATCCTAAGTGCCCCTTTCCACGAATTGAATAAGGACACCTAAAGTCTTCCTTGAGGTTATTTTACATTTTCACTGATATATTCAGTAATAAACAGCATCTGTTCCCCCCTTGCTGGCCCCAAGAATACATTACAATTAATGCTAAGAACAAAAATCTCTGCTTTTGGTAATTGGTGCAGATTAAAAAATAATATTGTTTATAAAAAAAACAAATAAGCCCTACTATTACAGGTAGACTCTGTTATCCTCACTTATTTGCAATTTCACTTAACTGCAGTTAATACAAACCAGCATACATTATCTATGCTCAGAGTTTGCATTTCCGAACTATTGTCATAGTTGACCCATAGTTCTGATCTCTCCAGTATTTTGCACTTGCGCAGAAGTACACATTCAACCTCCATCTGCATAATTTCCTGGTGATTCCAGCAATCTGAACTTCTAATGGACATCCTTTTCCTGCACTTTACTTTATCATCAGTGAAAATGAGCAAGTGCACAGCAGAGAGCTCTGTTGAGGGAAATGGCAAATATTTGCAGAAAAGTGGCCCTTGAAGCTCTCAAACATCCTGCAGCTGGGGAGTTTCTTGACTGCCTGACAGAGCACAGCATCAAGTTCAAAAGACACCTGGAGGAGGCTCTGCAATCCTGTAACACCTACCAGGTTCTACAAAGCAATTACTTTGCAACCATAGCTATACCAACCACACCTGCAGAGGCATCAGAAAGTGTCTCCAACATAGCTTTAAAGGAGGAAAATCCTTATTTTGATTCCGCATTCTTTATCCAGTATTATTATTTCTTTGCTGTTTTATTGGGTTGTGGAGTGGGGCCTTGTCTTTTCCTTGGGCTGCAAAACCTGACTTCCCAATTCCCACAGACTCAGTATAATGAAACAGCTCTAAGCAGTTTACGATAAAATATACCAAATATAATCTGAGTTAAAACATATACAATAAAAATCAAATAACATATAAAATAAAAAACTTTTATTCTGCAGTTTCATTAACCAGAGTTGTGTGCTACAAAGAGTTGGGCAGCATATAAATTTAATAAATTATCATAATTGCCCATATTTAAAATAGGAAAGCAACTCTTTGAAGAGCACTGAACTGGCCACATTCTACACTATACTGAACTAGCTCTTAGCAAACATAGGAGAGTTAAAATGCATAACAGACATAATTAAGCATGCTGGTTTCATCTCCTACATCCTCTGGTACTTCATCTACCTGAGAGATTAAAGGAGAAGCTGTGTTCACATTCATTTAAATGAACAGCTCTTTTTCAGATGATCTCAGACTATGGTTTCTTAACAATCCAACCTGGAGAACTGATCTCCAAACTTGCATTCAGATGAATGCAAGTATAGTTTCCCTTCAGCCCAACCAACTGAACATAAAAAGGGCAGATAAAGGTTGGGGGATAAGAGGACATAAGGGCAAGACCAGCATTCAGGGCCCTACCCTCCATGATAGGGCCATTCTAGATTGAATGGTCCTTTCATGTTCTGTACCTCTGAATTAACAGAGGTTTCTATGAGCAGAAAATGGAGACACAATTTTCACTTATTCATCCTTCCCCCATGCATCCATCCAACATGCACCCCCACCAAAAGTCTGCTCCATAGAGTCAAGAGAGCCTTTGGTATAGAGGCAGAAAAATTGATGAATTTGTTTTCTGCTTATTGAAGCCTTACTGTATCAAAAGGTTTCTGTTTACAGGACATAATGGTTCAATAAACAAATTCACAAACTAATGGTCAACAAGACCAACTGCAAGCAACTTTATTAACAGAGTTGTAATGTGACACTACTAGGTCTTTAACAGGTTGCTCTCATGAATTTTTTTTTTTTGATACAAATAGCAATCCATTACAGAAAGAATCTAACTGCCATTAACAGCAGCAATATTTTAACTGTACAATTTTAAAGTAGTAGATGCAAGTTCAATTTTTTTACTTACTTTGATTTGCTCTTCTTGGCCACTAGAATTGCAAAACAAAAAAAAAATTACTAATGTTTCAATTTATTTACCAATACACCAAATTATTCTTGCCCTATGATTTTATTTTATTAAACTTTTTAAACCAACCAATAGCCAAAGCTCTAAGCAGTTTACAATAAAACATACCAAAATATAATCTGAGTTAAAACATATACAATAAAAATCATATAAAATAAAAAACCTTATAAATTAGGCAGCAGCATAGCATTCATTCAAAAACTAAGAATCAAAATAAAATTAAAAGCCTGGGAAAACAGAAAGATCTCCAACTGGCACTAAAATGTAGCTAACATGGGTACCAGTCAAGCCTCACTAGAGAGGGAATTTAATAAATGGGGTACCACCACAGAAAAGGCTCTCACCCTTGCAGAGACTTACCTCATCTCCTTTGGTGAGAGGACCTGAAGAAGGGCTTCATTAGATGATCTTAAAGCCCAGGTAGGTACATATGGGAGAAGGTACTCATTCAGGTAATTTGGTACTAAGCTGTTTAGGGCTTTAAAGATCAAAACCAACATTTTGAATTGGGTCTAGAAATGAACTGGCAACCAGCATAGATGGTGAAGAACTCACATAATGTTTGTACTGACTATCTCGGTAAACAGTCTAGCTTAGTGAGCAGTCTATTTTGAATTAACTGAAGTATTCAGGCTGTTTTCAAAGGCAGTCCCACATACAACACATTGCAAATCCAACTGGGAAAGTAAAATGAGCAACATTTAAAACTATTTAAATAATATTCAAAGGGAACTCATGCCTCACCATATTCTTAACATGCTTTTTAATGCATATTTAGAGATTCCAGACTAGGTATAGTTTATTTACTTAGCTTGTATGCCATCCATTCCCAGTGGCTCTAGGTGGCTAACAATGTTGCCATACAAATATATCATACATACATTTAGGGGGGATACCCTCAAGTGAAGGGTTTTGACTCCTGGCAGCTACCAATAATTCCTAAGCAGATTCCAAAACAATATTTGTGAGTCTTCTGCCTGTCCCTTACACTCCAACAGGGAGGGCACACCCCAGTTCCCTCCTCTGAAATAAAGTCATTTTATGAGACCCAGGAGGTATGCTTTTTTTGTGGTGGCACTTGCCTTCTGGAATGATTTCCCCCCAACATACAACTGGCTCCAACCTTGCAGGCCTTTAGAAAGTCAGTGAAGTCCTGGCTTTTTCCTCAGGCATTTAGTCAGGATGAACAGGGTTCCCATTTGGTGACTTGTAATAGACTTGAATCCCTGATCACCTATTAAGTTACAGGTAGTCCCCAGTTTAAGAGCAACTTCCATTCCCAAGGTCTGTCCTTAAGTCAAATTTGTATGTAAGCCAGAACAGTATTATTGTATATTATTATATTAGTATATGTATTTAACTCAAATCACTGTATATTTAACTGAATTTTGCTACAATAGCGTCCATTCTTAACTATGGGTTGTCCGTAAACCAGGCATTCTTAACCCAGGGACTACCTATATATGTTTTTTATTATCATTACAATTATTATTTTGCTTTTAGCACTGTTGTTGGCTTTTTGTTTTTTCCTGTATGCTGCCCAAAGTTAAACACAGTTCTTAACAATCCACAGACATCTATACTTACTGAAGCTGCTGGGAGTTGTAGCTCAGTAACATCAAGACAGACAACATCTCCCTCCCTATCTAACTTTGCTGTATAGACAGTACCTCATCTTTATAAGAACAATATAATTTGTGTCATTAAACTATAGTTTACTAATTACATTCATTAAGGCTTTACAGATTGTAAAAATGATTCAGAGGGATTGCTTTCAATGTTGGGAACATGCAGCACCTCTGTGCTATTCATTAAGGCTGGAATTGGGGAAAGGTTCTGCATGGACAGGTGTGTTGCAGTTATCACAACTCCTTTTCCCAGTACTGTACTGCAGTTCCAGAGAGCAGCCCCTTGATTCTAGGAAAAGATGCAGCTGTATTAAATAGATGCAAACAGACTCTGTATAAGCCGCCCACATTTTCTAAAGCACCTTTTCCTCCCATGAATCCATATTGTTCATTAGTTTCCCCCCACTTTTTCAGTCTTAAAGGAATCCTCCGTATAAAGTTAATGTGACAATTAAAGCAGCCACTTTTTTCTTCTAAAGTCTGAAAAGAGTGGGATTATTTTAATGATCAGTAGAGAGTTACTTAAGAGCAGCGGGTTTACAATGAGTAAATAAAATCCCTACTCTAGCGATCAACCCTCTGACAAATCTACCTCATAGGAATGCAGGAGAAAACAATGTCCTTCGCCCTACATTCTGTGCGGGAAGGGCAATTAATATATACAAAATCTCTGCTCGATTCCCAAAGAATGTGGGAAGGTTGGTGCAATCTCACTGTAGGACCGCGAATCACCAAGCGGCCAACCCTTCAGAAACCAGGCAGCCAGGAAGATCAGAAACGGGACCTTAGCCGTACAGCCACCCCGTCAGACGCCAAGGGGAGCGTGAACCCTACTGCTGCTTCTCGTCAGCTGCTCGGTGCGCGTTACGTAGCTGTACAGCCACCTTATAAGGCTTACGCCAAGAAGTAGCCTCAAGTTTCTGAGAGGTATTCCCGGGAAACCGGGCAAACGTGGGGCTTGGTACGGCTGCACCCCCACCACAGTAAGTTTCCCCAAAGGAACTCACAATTGACCACCGTCAGAAACATGGCAATGGCGACAAAGGCCACTAAGCTCAGCCGCCTAAGAAACTCCAAACAACCGTCAGGCTGCAGAACGTAGCCACCATTCTAAATACTTCCGGAGCGTCCGCTCTTTCACTTCCACCTCACTAAAGCCCGCCCCCTGTAATCTACAAAGTTGGCCTTTACTGCTCTTCCTCTTTCTTCCTGAATCTCCCGACTCCTCCCTTTCTTGTTGCTCTGACAACCACTCGTCTCTCAATTCTTTCGGACCGTAAGTTAACCCTTTAGCCACCGGGATCCATATTGACATTCAATGCTCCATCTTCGATGCTAGATTTTTATACGCGGATGCTGGAATAAAACACTAGGCAGAATACTCCAGCTGGAAAACAAGTAATTTGCCTGGTGATGGAGGACCTGAAGGAATTATGATTTTTTTTTTCATAATTTTTCCTATCACTGTCATCCAACCATGCTACATAGTTATCCATCCATGCATAGGTAATATATGTTTGTTTATCCATATTACGGAGTACCCCATTTTCGAGGTTCCTGCAACACAGTGACTACAGGGACTTGGGTTCATGCAAGTCTAAAGTACTATTGGCTAGGCTGAGGCTCAGTATATTATGCACACCTTGCCATTCAGTTCTATTTTATATTGAATTGACTTCTAACTATTAGAAGAAGAGATGAATCTATCCATTACTGAATTCTTCCTTGCGGTCCATAAGGGACAATGCTATGCACTGCAGGTCCTTTCTATTTCACTGTTGCTTTGGTCTTTTTGCATCAGTCTATTGCATCCTTCAGGACCTGTTAGAACTGCAACCTAGCAAACTCAGGCAAGAATGGTAGACAGAAAAGCACATAGTTGAGATATAGAAAAGCACATCTGCACAGCAGTTCATAGCGTGTCATCAGAATTGAAAGCTGGCAAAATAGTTGTTTAAATAAGCAAATTCTCTTCCTGTGTTTTGATAGTGGAAAAGCGTGTATCATAACAAATATAATTCTATGGCTTCAACTGCCGTGTGTGTAAATTTTTAAGAATTTTGCTCGTTCACCATTTGGTCTGTAAACCTGAAGACAAGAACTTCAGGAGCTCATAGGGGAGCCTTTTTACTATTAAATAATTACCTGGATTAAAAAATGGAGTCAGAACAAGTGGTTGAAAATCAAGAGTCCAAGAGCGTATCTACATTTTAATATGAGGACATAAGAGCAGCCCTGCTGGATTAAATCCAAACGGAGCTGAGTCCACCATTTCGTTCGTAACTGTGACAAACTGGATGCCTCTGAGGTGCTCCCAGGTAGGAGGCTGAGGTACATTTCTCTCCCACCATTATTCCCCAGCATCTGGTTATTTGGAGGCATACCATACCTCATCAGAAAGTAGCTTTGAATCTTCAAAATTAATAGCCTTTGACAGACTTTCTAAAGCCATCTAACTGAGAGGCCACCACTGTGTCTTGTGATAATGGCTTTCACGGTTTAATTATGCACTTCATCATTGTCAGCAATTAAGCTTTCTGAATGCACTGTAGGTGTAGTATAGGAACTATCAACCTAATAGTGAAACCATGCATGGTCTTTACAGATTCTGTCTGTCAAGGAGGCTTATCCTCTCATTCCTCTAACTGTTAAACAAAGATGCAAACTATAAATGACATGTCTCCATGATATTTATTTATTTATTTATTTATTTATTTATTTATTTATTTATTTTATTTATTTATTTATTTATTTATTTA